TTTTCCCCCGGGTGGTTGGGGCGTCACCGAGGCTTCTCTTATCCACTTGGGACAGTTGGGGAGACCACTTGTCTGCTTCATCTTGTCCACCTGTCATGGCCAGGTGGGTCCCTTACTGTATTGTCTCACCGCTTGCCACTTTCAGGGTCTTAGCTGACTTAGTTCTGGTGCTTTATTTTCTCCCCTCCTCGTGTGAAGGGTAAGTGTTCGTCACGGCGGTGCGTTTGGTGCAGGCCTGTGTCACTGTGCCTGGCCTCAGAGCCCCTGATCTGGGGTCTCCGTTCCTGCCCTTTGGCTGTGTCTGCTGTTCCACATTCCTAATGTCTGCTGAATACTTTTTCAACTCCTGAGATTATTGTTGGAATTTCCTGACTTCTCTAGAGTCCTCTCAGTGGCAAGGGCCGTCCTCACGTGGCCAGTGTTTATGCTCATGTTGTCTTCAGGCTTCACTGTGTTGTATGGTCTCCTGGTTCTGTCTTCAAAGGAGTGACTTCATCACCCTGGACAGCGCAGTGGCCTGTGAGCTCTAGTCCACGCTGAGCCCGCACGGGTTGAGCTCCTGCTGCATTCTGCAGTGAGGAAGTAATACAGGCGCCGTCCTCCTTAGCTGAATGCCTGCTGCTGAAGTGGCTCTGCTGAGGGGTGCTTGGTGGTGTCTACGTGTGCACGGTCACGGCAGTCTTATGAGAGAGAGCTATGGGCACTCCAGAGGGACAGTGCTGTTGGCTGCTCAGGGCTCTGCCTGCCTTCCGGGGCTTCATGGAGACTGAGGAGTGCCTTGTATCCACTCAGCCACGGACATTCACAGCTCCTCTCACGCTCTGCAGTGAGAATCAAGGTTCGCTCAAGAATGACTTTTACTTTTTAAAAAAAAATTGTAGGAAGTGAATAGAATTCCTTCTTAAAAGTCTAAAATGTATTAGGAGATTGAAAATACTGTTTTTAAAATGTATCTCCATATGAGAGACACTGTCTTAAAGGTTGATTTTTGCATTTTAAACTTTTTGCGGTCACAAGCCCCTTTAATCTTTTAATTTATTTTTTGCAGTGCCAAGAGATGGAATGCTGGGTCTCTCATATGCTAGGCAGGTGCCCTACCACCTCGCCGTACCCCCAGCCACGGGCCTCTAGGAATCTCTAGATGTAGGAGGTGGCCGCTCCTCCTCAAGCCCCAGGGTCAGGTTTGGATTCTGCCCTCCCAGGTCACTTGCATGCCTTATCTCAGCTCAGTGCCTCTGACCCCACAGGAGGTGCTTGTGGGATGGAGTAGGTTGTCCTCCGTGGATCACTGGTGTGTGTAGATTGCCGAGTTTGTTCAGTGAAGAAGGAAGGACTTCCAATGGAAGACTAAGCGTTCTTTTTATAAACCAGTCTCATTGAACTTGTTAACCCTGTTTTGCCTGAAGATAGTTCCGTTTCAGCATACCCCCCTCCCACCTGCCTGCCTGCCTTCTAGTATGCAGAATCTGAGGCAGTCAGGAGAGTGTATGCAGGACCAAAGGAAGGAACAGCTGGAGGAATCTGGGTAGGAGAAAGCCAGGATGGCAGAACAGTGCAGCCGGGAGACCAGGGGCAGAACGGTGCACGCATCACGCTGGCCTGTCTAGTCACAGAAGAGAGGCCCCCAGGGTGCTGCGCTCCCCAGCAGCCCAGGGAAAGAGGGACACCTCCTCTGTAATGAGTCACAGGGTCCGAGAGCAATGTGGTCCCAACCAGTGGGCTTTCCTAACAGGCTGCTTTCCTGACACCGAGACTGGAGAGATTGTTCAGACCTCCCACTAGTCCTTCATCCTGAGTCCCGCAGTAGCCAGGGCAGTGAGCTGCTGGTTCCTCTTCCAGTGGCCTGTGGGCCCCTTGTGGAAGCACATGGTGCATGTGCAGCTCTCCAGTGGGGTTGGCGGGGCGAAGCCAGAGCCCTGAGGAGAGGTGAACTCCACGCCTTTCATGTCATCCCTCGCAGGAACACAAGCAAGGGATGTTTCAAGTTTAGCCTCAGAAAATTCTTGTTGATGAATGGTGATGGTATCTAGTGCTGGAATTGAGAGCAGACCCATGTCTTCTGTTGTCTGGGGAGGAACAAGCTTCCCACGCATTTCTGTGGTAATCCAGGAGCCTGGCTCTGTGGCTCTCTACACTGAGGGGAGCAAGGGAGCCTCCATACTGGCCTGGCCCCCAGGAGCCACTGCAGGGACCCTGGCACAGGGGCTGTTAGGAGACCAGAGCTGGGACTTCGTGCCAGAGAAAGGCTGCGGAATTATAGCCTGAAAACCTTGAATGGAGTGGTGCAGCGCGCTCTAGGAAAACAAAAGAGAACAGATCGTCGGCTGATGCAGAGTCCTGTCCTGCTTCCTCCCCCACCTCTTGTGATTGTTTTTTTTTTGTGTGTGTGGTGCTGGGGATTGAACCCCGGGCTTTGTGCATATGAGGTAAGCACTCTACCAACCGAGCCACATCCCCAGACCCTCTCGTAATTCTGAATTGAGTGGAACCATTAGAGGTTTATCCTAAGGTAGGACAGTCAAGGTATCAGGAATGCTTTGAAATCGTGATTCTTAATAGTAAACAGGTCCGATGTGTCTCCAGAAGTGTTATAGGCTAAGATGCCTGTCTGAAAGGGACCCTGTTGTACATTATTTAAAACTGTTCCCCTGACTTGCCATTCGGTGTCATCTTGCATGAGTGTGGCCACCAGGGGCTGCCTCTGACTGCAGCTGTGGATGACGGTCCCTGGGCTCTGACAGTAGTGGCAGTCTCCTGCTGCACTGAGGGATTTTCCTGTGTGGTGACGGGATGGCAGTGATCATTCATGATGTTGACCTGGAGATAGGATGGGGCTTGGGAAATCCAGGTTTGCAGGTTTTTGGGCCGGAGGCAGGTTCTCTGTGGCCCCTCGTCTGGGTGGAAAGGGGAGTCAGAAGGCCTCTCCAAGAAGGGGTTGACTGCAGCGCAGGTTCCCTCCTGTGCCTGGGTCTTCTAACTCCAGGGACCAATCCCCACTACCCCCCACGTGGCATCTTGGCATCGAAGCCCTGGGGTGCTGGCAGACTGCCTCTTCTATGGCAGGGAGCCTCAGCAGGTGCTTGCCCCAACATCTGTCACTAGGTGGACTCCCTGACTGAGGTGCCCCAGGGTCTGCCCCGCCCCTGCTGGGAGTTGAGAAAAGCACCAAGGGATGGGTCAGGGCTTGGGCTTCCTGAGTACTACTCACCTCTGCAGAGAGCCCGGGGGGTTGGCTCATAGCCTGCCTCGCCCTGGCCCTCAGCCAAGCCCTCCCTTAAGAATGCATTAGACTCACTGGTAAAAGACTGTCAGCACAGTTGGTGAGACCACCAGTGGCCACTTGGCTTCCCGAGGCCCCTGCCATGGTCTTACGATAGCCTTGGGCCGTCCTCTTCACCCAGCAACTGGAGCGTCGGGCTGCAGGTTATCCAGGACCTGTTAGGGGGTTGTTAGAGCTGACGCTTCTCTGCAGGCACAGCGTGGAGCTGGAAAAGGTCCCCAGGCGGAAGGCCAGATGGCAGGTGGGCTGTCTGCCTGCTGCTCTTCCTTCTCCACCCTCAGCTGTCTAATCCTGGGTGCCTGTGGCGTGGTTGGTGTTGCAGGGGTCAGCTTGGGAACCCATCCCTTCTGCCCAGTACTGGCTGTTGTTTCTGGGGGCAGCAGTAAATGGGAGAGTCCTGTTCCCAGTTGCATGACTTACAACCTGGGTGCTCTGGTTCCTTGAGACATCTGCTTCCCTGTGAACTTGGTGAGGGGTTTGCTGTTCAGACACAGAGCTGACCGAGTGCTGCTGGGAGAAATGCCTGGTGGCAGTTGGTCCTGCAGTGACTCAAGTCATGTGGGAAGGTTAGGGAGGAATGCGTGTAATTCCACCACCTCAAGGAGGGCCTTTTTGGCTCTTTTTTTTTTTTTTTTGTACCAGGATTGAACTCGGGCACCCGACCACTGAGCTGCATCCCCAGTCCTATTTTGTATTTTATTTAGAGACAGGGACTCACTGAGTTGCTTAAGGCCTCGCTTTTTGCTGAGGCTGGCTTTGAACTCTTGATCCTCCTGTCTCAGCCTCCTGAGGCGCTGGGATTATAGGCGTGTGCCATTGCACCCGGCCCTTTTTGGCTCTTTGATGGAAGGATTATTTTGTTTTTCTTATAGTTTCTTCAAATGGCATTTTTTTGTAAGGGAGGTAAATCAGGTTATACTTAATCACTTTCATTGTTCTACACATCATCCTGTAGTCCTAGAGAGACAGCTTTTCTATCCTCAAACTCTGATAGGCAATTTAATGACATTTGCCCCCACTGCCACACAAGTGCCTGATGTGGTCACTTGGCAGGCCTCTGCAGGCAGAGGGATGGCTCACTTGACGTTTCTACAGGTAAGTTGGGTGTGCTTCCTTCCCACTGAGAAGGTTCAGGAGTTAGTTGGAAGCCCTTGCCCGGAAGTCGCTGAGGCAGAGCAGCTAGAGATCCCGTGTTCGTAAGGTTCCTAGGGCGGCCTCAGTCTGTTTGCCAGCTTGTGCAGGCTTTTTTTTGGGGGGGGCGGTACTGGGGATTGAGCCCAGGGACACTTAGCCACTGAGCCACATCCCCAGCCCTTTTCCATATTTTATTTAGAGAGAGAATCTCGCTGTTACTGAGGCTGGCTTTGAACTTGTGATTCTCCTACTTCAGACTCCCGAGTTGCTAGGATTACAGGAGTGTGCCACTGCACCCAGAAGCTTGTGCTGTTTGTTTGGGCTTCTTGATCCTCACAGGGGTTCTGCCGGGTCCAGAGGGAGCATGCAACAGAGTTGAAGAAAGTGCTGAGAGGACAGTTGGTAGCACATGGTTGTCACAGGAAAAAAATAGATAACGTCTTTTGGGTAGCATTGGCTTGCTGGTTAGTGTGCTCATCTAGGATTGTCTGTGTGTTGGATGTGGGAATTCTGCTGTGGGGCAGTTCCTGGAACATGGTGGGCAGGTGCTCTCACCCAGGGCAACCTTCTGCTTTGTGTCTTTTAGAATGTCGTTCTTTCAGGAGGCTCGACAATGTTCAGGGATTTTGGACGTCGACTGCAGAGAGATTTAAAAAGAGTGGTGGATGCCAGATTAAAACTTAGCGAAGAGCTCAGCGGCGGCAGAATAAAGGTAGGAGAGGCGAGTGCCTCTTGCTGACTTGCCCTTACACAGAGCTGCAGGAGCGTGTCTGTCTGGAGCTCAGAATGAGCCGGAAGCTCTTTCTCATCACACAGAGGTGCAGCAGGGGCTCTTCCTGAGCTCACTCCAGGCCCCTGGTTACGACTGAGCCCTGCACCAGGGCAGCGGCCGTCTTGGCTCTCAGCAGCCCCCAGTGCCAGTAGCGTTCTTCTGTGTTTTAAGAGTTCAGGGCATGTAGCGTGATGACCAGGACCCTTTCGTTGACAGTGGGGTTCTTTGGAAATGTTCTCATTAAACTAAAACAACCAAGATTTCTCCAGCATAATTCCTGACTAGCTGGTGACTTCATTTGGATGTCTGACCAAGACTGGGCTTTGTTAGGGAAGGAGAGCAAGGAGGGAAGCCCACTGACGTGCAGACAGCTGCTGCAAAGGACGGTGTCCTTTGGTCTTGCAGGTGGCTTTCATCACTGGAACTGCCTCTGCAGGGCTCAGCCATTGGGCTTGCCAGGGTCTTTTCCCATTCAGATGCTTTAGTGTAAGTGGTGACCTCTGCTGGCCCATCTGCTTTGGTCCCTGGACCACCTGCCGCAGGGGCGAGTGCGATGAACTCGAGGGAAGGTTTCCGTACCCTCATGGTGGAGGGAAGGCCCAGAGGGAGCCATTGTCTTACCAGCTGGTAGAGTAAGATCTGCTTGCACTGCTTGGACTAAATGTGAGCTGGTTCATTTTGCAGCCCAAGCCCGTGGAGGTGCAGGTGATAACACATCACATGCAGCGCTACGCCGTGTGGTTTGGAGGCTCGATGCTGGCCTCCACGGTGAGTCCCTTCCTGGATGGTTCTGGGTTTTGGTTTTTGTTTTGCATTCTTTGTTGAATTTGGATAAACATTGTCTCTGAGGGTTAAATAGTAAGTATTGTACTTATATGGCTTTAAACAGACACATGTTTAATTTTGTCAGATACAAACATATTTTAATGATCATTTAAATTGAACAGCTAATTACTAAGTATCATTGCTTGGGATGCAGATAACATGGATAAGTAACATCTAAAAAAAAAAATCTTTCATTAATCACTAATTCCAATGATTTTCCCAAGTGATGATTTCTTTCACCCTCAAATTTGTTAATTTAAGGCCAGCACATATTTGGTCCTAAATAAATGGAGGCTGAATAAAAATTTTTGGTGTGTGGTGCTGGAGGTCAGTGAGGGGTATGTTTCTTTTCCTGAGCCGCTGGGATCAGACCCAGGCCTCACGCCCATGGGGCAAGGGCTCTGCTGCTGTAGCACGCCCCAGTGAACCTGTGAAAGTGACATAGACTGCTGTTTAGTTCAGCATGAGAAAGAGGTAGGGCCTGACCACAGTGGCCTGGAGAAAGCATGGAGGTTTGCATCGGGAGGTTCTCTGTGCCCAGCAGTTGCTTTAGCTTATCTCCCTCTGAGCGCCTGGGCTGCCTTCTCACTGCCGCCTCTTGCAGCCCGAGTTCTTTCAGGTCTGCCACACCAAGAAGGACTATGAGGAGTACGGCCCCAGCATCTGCCGCCACAACCCCGTCTTCGGAGTCATGTCTTAGTGTCTGCCTTGAAGTCGCATTCGATAGTGTCATGTTGGGAACGAGTGTCCTCAGAGCCCAGAGAAGACTGCAGCTCCTGTACAGGCGACGCTTGGTGTGGGGTCCCGCCGCGAGCTGGCAGCGCCCAGTGCATGAGGCACCGTGCTGTCTTCACGAAGCCATTCTTGATGTGCTGGCGGCGATCTGCCCTTCTGCCTCCCTCCCTCTCTGCCCTCCCCATCTGAGCTTCTAGTCGACAAATACAATTCTGAAGGAATTCAAATGCAACTTTAAAAATTGTTAGAGAAAAAAATGGTGTGAAATAGTCCCCCCACTGGAAATATCGTGGGGGCGTAAACACTGATCCTCCCAGCTTATTTTTGTAAATAAAACGTTATAAACTTGAAATACAAATCGATGTTTATATTTCCTATCATTTTGTATTTTATGGTATTTGGTACAACTGGCTGGTACTAAGCACGAGTAGATATTGATGTCATGGAGTGCTGTAATAAAGTTTTTAATTGTGAGGCATGTTCCGATATGTTTATAGGCAAACAGAATAAAGCGAAGACTTTTTGCCACACGTTTACTAGAAAATGATACACTTTCCTGGGGTGATGTGAAGTCTGAACACTAAACAGGGTTGTGTGAGAGTCATCATGGGTACTGTGTCTGTTAGTTGTTTTGTTTGAGCTTTCTGGAATTGTTTTATAGAAGATGATGGTTCGATGTTGGTGAGTGTTGGATGAAATGCTACCTTGCACCTTGTAATAAAAGCTGTTAGAATCTTTATAAATATTTTCCTGCTGTGGTGTGGTGGTCTTTTGATCCCTTCCCCCCAAACTTTTAAAGAATATTAAAGTTTGTTTCACATGGGTGGAGAATTTGGTGATGAATGCATTGTTGGTGGAAGGGGGTGTCTAAAATGACTCACACTGCCAGTTCTGCAGCAGCCACCCCATCGCTGGAGTGGACGGCAGCTAACATGTCAGATGTGGTTTGGGCTGGGGTGTGGGATGGTCCTGTGGACCTCCGGTGCCCCTTCTTGGAATATAAGAGTTGTGCTTTTAAGCTTTCAGTAACTACTTGGGCATTTGCTGAGTTGGTTGCTGGCTTGAAAGGTAATTTGCCAGATTAATAGATTTAGATTTATTCTATTCTTCATATGATCCGTATGATTCTTTTAAAGCTGATATTTATGATTTTCCCTTTAAGTTGCCAGATATACTTTATTCTCAGAAGATTTACCTTTGTAACCATTTTGGTTTTAATATTTAAAATTAGAAACAGGTTGAGGAGTAAACCTAGCCCTTATCAAGGCTTCATCTTCTAAAGTTTCATTTACCCATAGTCACCTGTAGTCTGAAAATATTTAATGGGAAATTCAGAGAGAGACACATTCATGTAACTTTAACTGGAGTATATTATTATGATTCTTATAATTTATTATCATTTGCTAATCTCTTACTGTGCCTACTTTATCAGTTGAACTTTATTGTAGACTTGGCCATGGCCACGCACCACAGCATGAGCCGCCTGGAGCTTCACCCAACACTCTCGCTTCTGGTGTTGGTCAGCTTTTTGTTACTGTAATGAAATACCTCAGGCAGTCTGCTAGGAAGGACAGATTTCAAGTTCAAGGGTGTGGCCCCTGCATCAGTTCAGTTCTGGTGGGGCCCTCAGCTGCTCAGTTGGGGTAGGTGGCCATGATAGGTGCCTGTGTAGGAGCAGTGGCCACTACTGAGTACAGGAGAGCAGTGGGTGGGGCTCTCGGCTGGTTGTGGAGTGTGGTCATGGCCAATGGCCACTCTCAGTACAGGAGCCAGAGGCTGGGTGGCTGGCTCAGGCTTTCCCTCCTTAATGCTGATTATGGGCAGTGACCCCAGGGATCCCAGGGCCCCCTTCTGGGCTCTGCTTCTCAATAATTCCACACTACCGCCCAATACCCGTGTCCTGGGAACCAGGCCTCCAACAGGAAACTTTCGGGGTCAAAACATCCAGACCATAGCGGTAGGCATTTTTTTTGTGTGGGTGGGAAAGCAGTATGTACAGGGCCTGTGTCTGTGGTGTCGACGTGGAGTGGGGCTGGGGACAGTCTGCCCACGTGCCAGTTAGACCTGTGTTCCTTACCAACTGATGTCCTTGAAAGAGGGGCAACTGGGTTCATGGCGGGTTAACTCCCTCCTCAGCAGAGTCCCCCAGATCGTCCCCCAGCGTCTCTAGGCCGGGGAGCTCTGGTTTTCCTCCTGGGTTTCAAGGGTCTCAAAATCTGACTACTAAATTTGGACACTAGCAGGTGTTTAGTGGACACTTTAACCCGGGTGGTGCCACAGTGCATCTCTTGTGGGTGGCCTCTGTCCACTCTTACTCATGGAGTGTGGCCACCGGCATGTGACCTCAGCCTGAGACCAGCGAGGACACTGAGTGGTAAGGGTGCTCTGTGGCAGTGAATGTGCTCGGAAGCTTCCCCAGCACCACCCCTGAGCCCCTGTGGGGAGAGAGGGCGTTCTGTGATTAACACCTTCTTTATGAGCCTTCCATTCCATCTCATTTGTAAAAGTTACGATTGTGCCAAACAAGATTGTGAGGTTAATCAAGTTCACAGCTTGTTTAAGACCACAAGAGAGGCCCATGAAGAATATTTATCTGTTAAATAATTCTTTACTTAATTAAAGAATATTTCATAATGTTTCTTTTAAAAGTAGCTGTCAGGCCTGTTAAATAGAAATATAAATTGATTAGCAAAATAATCGTGTGGGGCTCTAATTGGCGATTACATCAATTTTAGTTGGTCAGGTGGAAATAAATCATTTTAAAAAGAGAAGATGCTAACTTGATCTTAGCATTATTATGAAAGGTTTTAAAATATTACCTGACCCTGCGTTGTTTCTCAAGTAAGCGCTGTTTATCCTCTGTAGGCTGACTTCTTAGGGTTTATGTTTTGTTTGGGGATGACATTTTTTTCTGTGGGCTTGTGTCTATAGCATATTCTACTGAGAATTTCAAAATTTTTAATTGAGAGGAATATAGGTTTAAATTATTAAAAATTAGTTGCAAACCTGGGGGTTTATGACGTCAAGTAAAAGTTCAATGATATGGCATTGGCTGTATTTCCGATATTTAGGAGTCAGTAGTAACTGGTCAGAGTCCCTTTGACTCACTCTTGCTTCTCTGGCACTTAGTGCACGTAAATCCTCAGGGGTTTCCCTTCAGACGGATTTTGGCCTGAGTAGTCCCTTGTGCCCCTGGACTTGCGTGGTGACAGTGGCAGTGTGGTGCGGCACTGTGTTGTTGCAGTGAAGTCATTTGTGTATTCTGGTGCAGCAGAACTTGGGCTGAGCAGTGAGAAGGGCTCCTGTCTGGTTCCGCAAGTGGGACTTGAGGCAGGGTACAAGAAGTAGGGACAGACAGGAAGGAGACAGAGAGGGAAGGGACTGTGGCGTCCATCGGCGAGCTCCTTCCTCCAGCTGGGCCTGTTCTCCTGCAGCTGGACTCCTACAAGGCCCAGGAAGCCCAGTGAGCCCGTGCCTGGGCACCTTGCCATGTGGTTTTAGACTGATGAGGAAGCCTGGGGAGAGACTGTTGGGGACCAGAGACACACGCACCGTCCAGCGCCCTCTAGAGCTGGGTGACGTCAACCTGGAGGTCTGAGAGGAGCAGATGCCCAGCCCCCGCTGCTCCACCACCAACGCCACGAGCTCATTGGCCTGACGCACCATTCACACTGTTCCCTGACGCCCAGAGCACGGCTCTCCCTCTTTCTCATGGCCACAGTCCTCTCCCTGTGAGTGTGTGTCCTGCTCGCTTTCCTGAGTAGATCTTTGCTTGTCCTTCTCTGTAGGCCAAGAACCTTTTCCCCTCTGGGCACCTCCTGAGACCTGGACCATCATCCTCGCAGCAGCGTCCCCTCCCCTCCCCTCGTCAAACCCAGGCCTCCTCCCGTTGCAGGCCCTGAAACCAGCAGAAGCCGTCAGCTCTGGGTTGCGCATTTACTAGGTGCCTTCATGGGAGGCCTGCCAGTCTGAGCATGCTCGTCGATGGACATGGTGGGGGCCGTGTGGAGGGGGTACAGGGGCAGTGAGAAGTGATGGACCATGACTGGGTGACTGGGGGAGGGGGGTGAGGGAATGGGTGGTGTCAGAGGCCTCTGGGAGGGGTTGCAACTAGGTCACAGGAGAGAATGGAGGCTGGTAGCGGGAGGTGGAGAAGGGGAGCCATCCAAAAGAGAAAAGGGCACACATTAGGTTCTATAAGTCAAAAAAAGCAAAATATCAGTTTCCTAAAACAAATGTCTGGAGCAGAAGCTAGCCCGGCTTTTGGGACATGGAGAGGAACTGGGTGCTGGGATGTTGGAGTTCCGTCCAGAATGGGGCTGGGCTAAGGGGGAGGTCTTCATCTGGAGAGCAAAGTCCTGGACATGGAGAGAATTTAGTGGGTGGTCAGATCAGCACTACAGAAAGCAGACACACCTAGAAGCTTCCCTCTAAGTCATGATCCCACCTAGGAGAGGGAGGAGAAACCTGCCAAGCGCCATGGCTACCCTCGAGACTTCTCTCAGGGCACCAGAGAAGTGCTGTAAATATTTCCGAGAGCAGGTGATGTGGTACCTGTAGGCAGGAAGGGAGGGAGAAACCCGTGGAGCCGTGGGCGGAGCTACTGTGGCTGGGAGAGGGGCCTGGCCAGATGCTGTTCTTTGTAGATGAACCTCGGAGATGAACCTTTTGAAGCGTGGTAGAGGAATACACAGCCACTGGATGCAGTTAGTTTTTTTTTTTTTTTAACTAAAACTACCAATAAGATATTTTTTTCTTATTGAATTTAGAATTAGTCTATTTGATTTATGTCTTATTGCATTTTATTTCTTGTAAAAAAGAAAGCTTTTGTGATCTCTCCACGATCAGTGGCATTTGATAGCTATTAAAGCAGAACTTAGGACAAGGACCTCGACAGGTTAGTAGTGATTAGAAGTACGCTAGTGGAGGGCCAAGCTGTGAGCTGCAGGTGGAGTGACCAGTTGGTGTTCCACTGACATCTTTCATCTTGATTAGGGTAGGACACCGAGCTTGCTATTTTGATTATGTGGTCATTTTCTTGAGTGAACTAGAAGTAGCGTGTGTAAACATATTTATTCACTTATTTATTTAATCTTACGTCCCTGATAAATTAAACTTTATAGGTCACCAAAGCATCATTGCATGAAATAATCACAGCTCTGAATCATACTGTGTGTGATTCCGATGTCCCCAGTGGCAGGGAGTGATGGCATGGCCGCTCCATGGCAACGGACAGTTTACGCTGGCCTTGATGACGGAGCCCTGGTGCTGAGGCTTCAGGAGCACTGGGAGCGTTTCCAGGTGGCTGTCCTCTGCCCTGGGTGCTTGTGGCCAAGCTGCTGCTAGCCACACTGTGTG